TCATATAAGAAAACAATAAAAACCTGCTACACATCAATAAAAGATCTATTAAAAAGCTTATATCATTTATTTAATACTCTAATATAATTTTAATACATAAAGTATAGTCTTTATTTAACTTAATATAAAAATAATAACTTAAGTTTAAATTATTTTATGACATGAGAAACTATAAAAATAATATAGAATCTTCTCAAGAAAAGTTATATTAAAAGCAACTATAAAATTTAAGAACAATTTTTTAAAATCATAACAATTTATTTAACTAATTTTATATTATTTTAATATTTTAACAAAATTTAGGCTATAAAAAAAGTTGATCCAGAAGGGGCACACGTTTTAAGGGGTAACAAGTGTGTTATTTAACTCTTATTTCTTTCCTTTAAGTGAAGTTTCTTTCATTGCTAATACTCTTCTTATATTTCAAAATAAAAAATTAATTTGATTAAAAATATTAATTAAGATTTAATTTATCGATTATAAATTATACATCATAAATTGATTTGATTAAAATTAATTCATTCCTCATGAAAAATACTAAAAATGATAAATAAAAAAACTGAACTCTTAAATGGAGAACTAGATCATGGGTTCTCAAAATATATATGACTAGATTCCACAAGATTAACAACATGTAATTCATAATTTTCCAATAAAAGCATTTTTTTTTTAGCTCAACAAGTTTAGAATGAAATTCATTATCAATTTATTGCATCACTACTGAAGAGCTAATCTACAAAGTGTGCGTGACACTTAATGTTTAAATCTAAAAAATTATTATTTATAATCGACGTTAGAACTCAAAAGAAATATTAAGTCAAATATTAGGACAAACTCACCATCATTGAAAACCCTTTAGAAAAAATTACAAAATCAGTGTACTATTACCATAATAAGAAAATTATTATATGCACATGGTGTTCTAAATTAGACTGATGGTTTTCAAAAAAGTTTAAAAACTTATAACTAGAAAAAGTTTAATATTGATAAAATAATTCTTACAGCAAGTTGAATTTTTACACACATAATTTCTGATTAAAGATCAAAACTTTTTAACAAATAGCACTGCAAATTCCTTTAAATGTTCTACTTTAATGTACATACTGAGTTTTTTTATGAAACATGAGTAGAGTATTGATAATAGTGCATAGTATATTGCTTTTTTTCAGCTCCATCATTTAGTTTACTGCCGACGGTGAAATGTTCACTGTCAGCAGTAAACCATCGGCAGTAAGTTTCATGGTTCTTTAAAAGATTAAAAAATTTTACATTTGTGGTTTTCAAGTATTCGACATTGGTTCTCTGTAGACCCATCTGTTGAAAAAAAATTGAAACTAAAACTTCATAGTAAATTGTTTGCCTTGTTACATGCTTTTTCTGTAAGAATTATTTTTTCAACATAATCACTGTAAATCTTTGAAAATGGTTAACCTAGTTCAGGTCACACTCTGCATATACCAGGAGATATTTTATTTTATATACTAGAAAAAGTATTACCTGATTCTAATAGCAAGGTATTTAAATCTGGTTGCCATTTTCAGGATTTGGTTTTATAGGGTTTAACAGTTTTAGAGCCATTTATACCACTGTCATAAAATTAGTATTGTGCTTTAAAAATATTCATGGTTATATCAAGAATTGCTCTTAAGGTGTGGGTGGATAATCTTTGTGGTAATTCTGAAGTAAAGTTCAAGAGCAAAATCTCTATTCAATAATATTTTATACAGAGACACATTGTTAAAAATGCTAGAGAAATTAGTATTTTCAAATGTAATTAGTTTTTTTGTTTACAAGAGATTCCATACAGTGACATTGTATAAAACAAGATTTTATCAATCATCTATAATATTTATCCACAATTTTTTTAAAATTTCCCTACATATATGTGTAGACTATATCTTCATCATAAAAATAAACTACTTACGAAAAACGAGATAAAAATGTAAGGGAAACAAATTAAGAAAATAAAAATTATTTCATGAATTGTTCTTCATAGCAATACATACAGCAAATATTTTTAAAAAAATAGTTTCCTTGATAATGAAATTTTCAATCAGAAGATTTATATGTGGATATCCTGTACATTTGAACCTTGGCAACTTTGTATTCAAAAGTGTAAATAGTCATTTTTAGGTAGCTGGAGAAAAAAACGAAATTAATAAGTTGGGAACCACTGAAACTGGTTTCTCAGAGTGCCAAATTAGAAACAATGTATAATAAACATCAATAAGGTAACGGATTAGGGTATCAGCACAAAGGCGACAATTGCTACACAAGGGCACACTCACCGATCGGAAGGCCTGAAGGACCAGGTTAAAGGCAACACCAAGAATGAAGGGAAGAGCAGGGTAAAGATAGAGAGAAAGAGAAAAAAGAAACACAATATACATTAGTACAACAACAATTTGATAAAATTCACAACAATTAACCATAGATATAATTAAGATGAAGCATGCAATAGAGGAAGGAAAATAAATACCAAAATGCAGGTACAAATATACATGCAAGTTGTGTAAGCCAGGAAGAACAATGAAACCTACCTTTAACAGACGCACCTATCGATATTTTTTTCTGTCATTATTTTTTTAAGAAGGAGACATTAATTTTTTTAAAAAAAGAATTAACCTAGTTAAACTAAAGCTCTGTTGTCAACTCATTAGTTTGGATGAACTTGGAAGAAATTGTTCTAGGAAGTCCCTTCTTTAAAAACAAGCACAAATAAAGTAAACAAGCCTGCAAATCTTTATTCCTTATCCTTCTGATCCTCCTGCGTGTAGAATTTTATTAACTAAATAGCATGCTTCCCAACAGCATAAACTATGAATTATAATCTTATTTCGTATTAAACCTCCAAGCATTATGCGTCTGCAAAGGTTCATGAAGAATTTTCTTCACACTGCTTGAATAACATCAATGGACACTAGTATGTGGAAATCAGCTAGTTAAATTTTGAAAAAAAAAAATCTAGAGATAAACTTATCAAGAGTGAGCATGGAATTAATATTGCTGCTGGGAAAATTTTTCGGAGATTTGAACAATGCTTTCAGATCATACATGACATTGTTTTTCATCTACTGTCACTAGCATTTTTCTAAAGGACAATTTATTTTGTCAAAATGTTACAATAGTGAATTAAAGAACATCTTTACAGATTTCAGCGAATATGGCAGTCTTTAAAACGTTTAGGCCTCAAGGAGTCAAACTGTTTTTCATTTCTGGATATTTAGTTGATTTTCCAACTAACACTAATTAAAGTAAAGCAGCATTTTTTCAAGCAAAACTCAGAGCACATAAGATACTCTCTAAATTAATATTAAAATACAATACAAGACAAAATTTTGTATTTCATACTACCAACAATTCAATTCTATGATTAGGAGTATAAATGAATTAGTATGAGGATATTCTTCCCATCCTAATTTTTCTACAAAATGAATAAAAGGTATAATTAAATTAAAAGTTAAAACTGTAAATTAAACTTTAATAAAACTAGACTATTTGATTAAAGAATTGAAAACAGAAAGGTAAAAAGGTAGAAAAATAATAAATTTGTTAAACATAAAAATTTTTTGATTCATTTAAAAGATTAAAAGGTTAGATGTAAGAAGTTGTGAAACTAAAAACAAGTAAAATATTATAAAAAGAGAAATATATAAACAAATAAGGGGCTAAATGTACATTGACTTGATATATTTTAAATATGCATACATAGAGATTTACAGATTTAGGACAACTTTTTAAATATTAACATAAATTTTTTTAAAATTTAATTATTGTACAGTTAATTCCTAATTTACCATTAACTATAAATGAGTAAATATCACAATTTTGGTCACTTTCACCTGAAAAGCAATTCAATTAATAATAAGAACATGATTAAAGAAAACATGCTTGATACTTATAGTAGTAATATGAATATGAAATCATTTGCAAATTGAACTTATTAATCATTCATAATAAAAAAGTTATAAAATTCATGCAAAATGTATGTACTAAAAAGAATAATAAAGAGTAAAAAAATAACTCTTAATTGTACACTGTATTAATATATATATATATAAATTAGATGTAATTATTTACAATAAAAACCAAAAGTAGTTTATTGTTAGAGTTAAAAATATTTAATAAATAAATTTAAGTTATTTATTTCAAAAAAAAAAAAAAGAAAAAAAAAAAGGTTGTAAATAGCTGATTTAATACATAAAAGTGATTTATTTATCAAGACAAACATCAATAAGATGTATTAAACTAAAACTTGATAAATTAATATCAAAACATATAAATGTAGCAAATATTTATAAATTACTAATGTATTAAAAACCTAACTTTATATTTAAATTAAGATAAGCATTTACACTGACAACTATAAAGACATAGAAATAGTCCTTTTTCTTTAAAGTTCTACGATTTATTAAAAAATTATCTAAAAAATTATAAATATCTCATTAAAAGTTGTTGTTTAATGTTAACAGTTGAGTGAAGTTATATTAACAAATTTAAAAAAATACAAAGTTAAAATAATTTGCTTTAATTGTCCTGTCAGAAATGTTACAAAATATATACTGAACTGGTTCAATATATGCTCTATTACAATTTTCATACAAAAATGTTTATCATTTCCAAGATATTCATAAATTAATTTAACATGAAAACATTGAACAGATATATAAAATAAAGAACAATTATGTCTTTGCCCAAAGTTAAAAAAAAAATTAAAACTTCCATATTTAAATGAGATTATACATAATTCCCAAAATAAAGAATAACTGAATTAATTAAATACACAATCAAAATTAAAAAAACATCAAACAAGGAAATAATTAAGTAAATTGAAAATCATTGAAGTTGGAAATAAAAATCCTTAAAATTAACAATAAGTCAAAAAATGCATTCTCATTCATAGTATCAAATGCAAATGGCATGCATTAGAAATTCTAAAAAACCTAAAAAAAGAGAAAAATAAAAAGTTAATACTTGGTATTTGGTATTATTTCACTAACCTCAGCATAGTTCTCATTGTTCTGTTGCAAAAGATCGACACATAATTCAGCTAAATGTATTAGATCTTCCAGTTTCTTTCCAGGTGATGCATTTTCGTCCATCTCTGATTCTATGACATAATAACAAATGCTAATTAAAATATATTATTAAATACATTAATAACAATTATCTAATGAACAACTATAATTAATTTTTCTTGCTAGAATGAGCTACTGAATCATACATATGCAAATGACACTAAGTGATTTTATATTAAACCAGATGTTAACATGATTTAACTGATTAACCTTAACTGATGAGCGACTATACTACTAATCCTTTAACTGATTAGCACATTATTTACATTAAGTAATATATGAGAAAACCGATATTCAATGCACAAAAGTAAAAAGCCTGTTAGCAGTTAGTTGTTTAAAAAAATTACTGTAGTATTTTTAATTTTAAAAAATACATTCAAAAATTTTTTAAAAATGCAAAAAAAGAATTAAGAATATTTAATTGACTGTAGAGTTTAAGGGTGAAGGAGCCTAAATTAGCGTTAATGTACCAAAGGTAAATGACACCAACTCAAAGTAAGTGCTGATCCAGTATTGTAAATGATGCCTGACAAATAAGAAAAAATTTAAGAAAACGAACAAAAAATTACTGCATTTACTTGTATTCAAGAAATCTATGTTTATCTGAAGAAATGAGAAAAAGAAAAGAGCAAGAAGAAGTTACCTGTAAAAGCATATTCCCTGAATAATAAGTACTGTGATATTACAAAATCTGTGATATTTAGTTAAGATATTGATGTCCTTAATTAATCACAAAAATATGTATAGAAAATATTTTCTTGATTGAATCAAAAAGTGAACAACAAATTCATGTTAATATTAGAACATTAATGTATAAATGTATATAGGGGTAGAAATTAAGAAGATTTAGTCACTGGTCGAAAGGCCTAATAACTAAAACACCAGAAATAATACCAAAACAGCAAACCATCCCTTAACATTGATCGCTGGTTTAAGAACACTGACAATTTATTTTATAGTGGTCCAAGTCATATTAAAGTCACCACTAATTTTGAGCCAATAAAGAGATAACAGAAAAAAAAATTTGTAATAAAATTTTTTTATTAAAAATATTTTTAGTCAAAAACAAATAATTAAGTAATTATTGATACATAACAATTAAAAAATTGTTTAATCAAACAAGAATTGTAATAGTCTTGTTTGTTGTCCAAATCTGTTTATAAGTTTTTCAATGAATTCTGAGTCATTTTTGATTCTTTTCTTATGCCTACTGAGCATGCACAGGTTTGGGGGGAAGATAATTTGTTAGAGGGTTGTACCCCCTTTAATATTATTCTGCTGGTGCCCTTGTTATCTATACACACAAATTGAAACCTGTTAAAGAAGTTCCCTTTTAAAAAATTTTAAATAACCATTTAGACGCCTATTTCTACAATACTAAATTAACACTCTTAAAAAGTTTTGTTTTTAACTGTTAAGAAAATTGTAGATTGGGAAATCAATCAAAGAAAATAGACATAAGTCTTTAGAAATGAAATTCAGTGTGACAAAAAATCTGGATTCAGGGAAAAAAATGTTTTAGGTGGCCTTAAATGAGTAGTAACTTTTTTCATTGACCTTCACACTTAATTCAGGAAAATGTATGTTATGACAAGAGTAGAGAGGATAAGCCATCAGAATAGCACGTTAAGTAAGCAGAGGTGTAGGAGCAGAACATGAAGAAATAAGTAAAAAGGAAATGTTACAGAAATTCTTGGTTTATTTGATGTTATAAAAGGTTTAGAAAGATACTAAAACCTTGGACAATTTTCCACAATATATTACCTAGGAGAAGAAGAAACAACGCAATATGGGTAAGATATATAACTTCTGCCTACTCAATTAAAAGCTGCTCCCTTCCCATGAAAAACTCTTTAACAGGTTAAACTGTATTAAATATGTTATAAAGATAAATGGATGGGTGGGCAAATGTAAACAATAACAAGCGTCCTTAAACCGGAAGAAATTTAGAAAATTTCTGGTGTATCCCTCCGCTTATGTTATGACTACGAGGCAATGTGTGAACAAGTTTAATATTCTATGCAGTTTTGTTATTGTAATTTGGGTTCAAATCTAAACATAATTGTANACGGGATGACAAACACACGATCGGCAACCTTGAATCTTCCCCAGTATTTAAGTAGCTTCGAACTTTACTCAGTCTCTTAACCATTTTAGACTGTGCAATCTTGCACAAAGTATTGTTTAATCACTAATTTATTTTACACCTATACGCTTGCGTAACCACTCTGACCCCCTCTCCTCCCTTAATCTCCGCACTATCTAAGATGAAGATGATAATGCTGAAGTTTAAAGGCTGAAAGAAAGAACTCGGTACATGTGAAATGCTGCAAAAGATATGATGCAATAATATGACGGCGCGTTTTTTAAATCTGCGGCATAAAAATATATCGGAAGCAGTAACCCGGAAGTCTTGAAAGAGCAATTTTACCACTAGCGCCACCACCCTTAGCTTTACACGATTACCCATCCATAGCAACTAACTCCTTTTAGTTGCAATGTAAAAAAAGATTAGAACTGGAAAAAGATTAAAACTGGAACTAAGCATAAAATATGTCGAAATATTATTAGAAAAAAATGTGTATGCACATTATATATGTTAAATGAAAATCACATGCAGTAACATAAAAACAACACAAAAAGGAATAACAGGAAAAATGCAAATTTAAAGCTCAATAGCATACTCTAAAGTTTACCTTGTTCTTCAGGAGGTTGTTGTTGCTGCTGTTGTTTTGCAGCTTCAGTTCCTACACAAAGCCAAATGCAGCACAGAGAGTAAAGGAACAAAAGAAAAGAGTAAAGAAAGAATTGCACTAACACAAATTATAAAGAAGATACATACGTAGATCAGAAATGACTGAAAGTTGAAAATTTGCATTTAGGACACAGTTTAATAGTTTGCAAGTTGTTTAAAGTAAAAATTACCACTTAAAAGTAAGGTAAAAAATATTATAAGATCATATTAACATTATAAGTATTAAATTTTTACTTATAATAATGAATATATAAAATGCTCTAAAGAGAAAATATAAATAAAACTTAAAAAACGAAAATAACTGATGAAGTCCATTAAACTGATGATGAATTTAAAATTTTTGGATGAATCCTATAATTTTCAAAACATTTTATTTTCTACTTCTTTTTTATTTTTCTTAGCAAATCAGCAGTATTGAAATCCCCATGTTGCAGGACTTGACATACACTGTTTAGTTTCAAAAGCTAAAACCACCAAACAGGAACAGTTCTATTTTGAGAAAGAGAGATAGGCTTAAATGAATGTTTTCTCAGGTTTTAAGGCGTGTAGTCACAATTCTTTATTCCTTCCTTTCATTTTGGCTTATATAAATTTCCGATTCTGAAAATCTGATTTTGCTTTAACTTGAATAGAAATATCTTTATTCTACACAATTATATTCTAGCTTTGCTTTAACAAGAAGAAAGGACATTTTTGAAAAATTATGAACAAGTGCTTAAGGCAAAAAACAATATGAATAAAGCATAGATGAAAGTACATATATTGACTTTGCCTTGGTTGGATGAATAGATGAATTTGACAGACATAAATTTTGTGTACTATTCCTTTATTTTTAAACATGAAAAGTTATTATTAATTTCAAAAGCAGTTTTTTACAAATAATTTATAAGAAAAATATATTTAAAATAAGAAAGGTTAATTTAATTCTAAAAAAGTTTTCTTTGAATATCATCACTGGCTAAATTAGCTTCAAAAATTAACATAATTGTTAGATATATATGTCAGCAATATTTTTTTAACAAAATTTGCATATTTTGCTTTAAGAAAAATACTTGTGAAACATTTTACCAAACGTCAGTATTTATTACCAAAAAACTCATAAAAGTAAAATAAAATTTAAAAAAAATTAGCATCAGCACTGCTGAAAAGTGAACAATCCATTAGCTTTATGATATCTAAACCCTATCTCGATGAATTCAAAGTAGACCTGATACATGCATAAACACGTTTTCGGCCTTTTTTGATATGCAAACATATAATGCACACGCTACTATTTCTAAATTCAATAATTAAAACAACTATCAAAACTCTTTTTTTTTTTTTAAATATTTCAATGAAAAGAACTATTTATTACTATCGTATGTCCTGGGGCATAAGTCTGTATTATAAACAATAAGACAGATATAAATAACTCTGTATCAATTTACTCCTTTCAAAAACTATTTTTACTATGTTATATAACAGGGTTGGCCAAACTGCAGCTCTTTGAAGGATTATTTGTGGCTCTCAATAAATGAACCAGAGTTCCCTTTTCATTTTTGCGCTATTATATTTCAACAAATTATTATCATTCCGCATGGGTTTCAAAATGTTTTTTAAATTACTGACAACAAATATGAAAGATTAAGTGGAACATTGGAACTAATTTCATTTCCGCCCAAGATAAGAATGATATGACACATCGAAATTTACGCGAACGAACATAAATAGTGGCGTAATCGTCCAACTCCAGACCGATTAACACGATCTACCAATAATTTATTCCCTTTTTTCTAAGAAAAAGTAAGCTAGAAGGAATATTGACAGAATTCCAAAATAGATTTCAAGACTTGAAATATTTTAAATCATCATGATTTTTTTCGGAATCTATTCGAAATTACCATAATTCAAGGTAAGTTTTCCATTTCCAATATAATTAGGAACCAAAAAGCATCTGGAGAATTAGAATTAATAGAGATGCACGAAGATCAAGCTCTACAATTAAAATATAAGTCGACATCGATTACTGAATTATGGAAATTTGTACCAGAATCGAAGTATCCTGAATTAAAAAAGGCTGCTTGTCGAATTATTTCAAGATTTGGAACAATGCACTTAAGTGAATCAATTTATTTCACTTTAAAATTCGTGAAATCCAAACACCGATCAGTAATATCTCAAGAAATTACTGCGAAGTGTTGTCACCAATTATTCACCAAATTTTAAAGAATTATCAAGAGAAGTAAAATAAATGTGTTTAATATTTAAATTCAATACACATATTTCGTACTTTTACTTATATTATAGATATAATTTCTGTAAAACAAAATTTTTTAATTACCTTTTAAATATGTATTTTATTAAGGCTCGCGAAAAATTTCAAATTTTGAAAAATGGCTCGACTATCAAGGATCTTGGCCACCCCTGTTATGTAAAATTAATTTTGCATTTTCTCTCTTACTTTCTTTACAGAAAAAGGTTTTTTTTACAATTCCTTAAAATACGTTCTGAAAAATTAATATTAAAGAAAGTTAATTTATTTAATAGTATTTCAAAAAATATAACACAATGAAAACTTTTAAGACATAACATAAAGCTACAAATTTAAAGATTTCAGATCATCATCTATGTCAGATTCAGTAACATTATCAGCGTCTTTATTCGGGTCTCAATTTTGAAAAGGATTTTACTTCAACTTCATCTGCTGAGTCCCACAAAAAATAATTTTAAACCCCATCCAAAAATTCGAAATTCCACACTTATCAAAAGTTGTCACAATAACAATTAAATTTATATTTTGGAGATGGTCTCTCACAACATCTTTATTTGAGGGAAAATGTATCATATTCAGAGAGATTTAATAAGTTCATTTATTTTCTAATTTCAGAAATTTTCATATTTCGTTCAGACAGCGGTTGACATACACCTGACATACCAGAATAATCAATATATTGTAATCGAAAATTAGGTTGACTTATACCCCAGGATATACAATAATTTATCTGTTTAAGATTATTCATAATAAACAGTAAACAGAATTTAAAAAAAAAAAAAAAAAAAGACATGATATTTATATTTAGTAAACCTATTTTAAAAGAAGGAATATAAAACAGACAATATACTTTTAATTTAAGACACTTATTTAAAAATAATATTTTTTTTTGTTTATACTTAAATAGATAGTACTGTCCCAAATTTGCAAATAATTTACCTTCAATTTTGGCTTGTTCTGATATTCTAGTGTAGTTTACGAGTGCTGCATTTTCTAAACATTTTTTAATAACTGATCTGACTTCTTCTGGAGGAGCTGGAGTCATCACGTCTTTCATTAAAACCTAGAATTGGATTTTATTTGTACATATAAACAATGAATCTATCATCGACAGAAGTTTAATTTTTTTAAAAATTTTTTTGTGAAGTATATACAGTGGTCGGAAGTAGTAGAGATATTACCATAGGCGCTACATTTTTTGTAGATTGTAATAAAGTACGCTTCTTTTTAAAAGTAGTAGTGTAGTGAGTGGACAATAAAAACCAGTAGTTTTCTGGTAATTACTTTTAACGTTAAATGTTAACGTTATTTAAAGAGTAAGGTTCACACATAACTAATTTTTTAAATCTGATTGGTCAACACAGCTTTGTCAATTGGCACAATGAGAACGTCACTGTGTTCAAGGGTTAATGTGAATTACATCTCCAGATCTAGAGCAGAAAGTTTTCTTCAAATCAGAAATTTATTTCATACTTTGCAGGTTTCTCATTTGGTATTCTATATAATGCATTGGAAATGTGTAAAGTATGAATCGTTTCATACATTGCCATTTAGTTTTAGGCACTGCAGACAAGGCCTGGACATTTTATAGAATATCAGGTTTCAAACTTTGCCAGTAACACATAGAATTATAGTTACTTAATATCATCACAAAGAGCTACACGTAATTTAGTGTTGGTTTTTAGCATTTGTTTTATCTCCTTTTTTTCGCAAAACATTAGAGAAAGAAATTATATAATAAAGAGTAATCTCTCTCCAGAAATATATATTTTATTTTATTTTTATTTTATAACCGTCGTTGAACAGCCGACCCAATTTCATGGGTTTACGACTACTTACGTTCAACTTCGTAGCCTTGTAATTTTGAACCAATCCAGAAGACAAGGAAACTCCTGGATCAGTACCCCCAGAAGTATGATTTGTAATGGGTAAAGGGAAGACTTTATGATTCTACAGATTTAACGTGCATCAGTCACCATTTACTACACGGGGAGTCTTCGGCCGGCAAGGATCGAACCCACGACCTCTTGGATATGGGCCCAAATTTCTACTGTAAACAGATGTTCTATGGCTTGAAGAGCTTTTAAAATCTAACTTTCTCAAATTTAATAAAATAATAAACTGCTAATTTGCTAACAAATTTATTAGGAACTTGAGCCTCTGATTTTATGTGATAAGGGTGCTTTAGAGATTTTACGCTGTATACTAGGCAGGGTCCACACAAACAATTCATAAAAAAGAAGATTTAATCTATAACTTTATAAAATCTATAAGGGCAGGCTCTAATTTAAGGCAGACTCCCGGTGAGATGTATTAATTGTGTAACACTTTTAAGACAAAAATCAGGAAAACAGTCTTCAAAAGAGATGCCTGAAGAAGACCAGGGCCCACCCTAGGCTACTGAGCCAGTGAAGAGAAAAAAGAAGCAAATCTACACAGTGAAGTTTTTGACATTCTATTTTTATAAGCAAAACATTCTATTTTTTGATAAGAAAAAAAGTGAAATCTATTTTATAAAGCAACAAATAAGTAGCTTTTAGCCTTCATTTTCAATATATGTATTTTCCTAGAAATACGTATATAGAAGTAATATATACATTTCAAAGTGAGTGAAAAATACTAGCTAAGAATAAACAAAATTTTACATACTCTCTCCAACAAAGAAAGTGCAGCTTTAAGTGCACCTTCTGGTCGACCAAAGGGGAAGCAATACCTAAACAGGGGAGAGAAAAAAGTTAATTGGCCAAAAGATAGAAAAACATATGTTATACAGCAAAATACATTTTGATTGAAAAGACAAATGAATGGTACATATCTATATTTACAACTAGGACTGGGCTATAAATCAATATATTGAGACATCGATTTAACGCCTGTATCGGCAGGCCGATACAGCGACTTTCGTTCCAGGCGATGCATCAGAAACCTGATTTAAGCCGTCGAGTAAAGAAGACGAACGATATAGCGATAAAAGACACGCAAGGATGTCTCACGTTCCGATGCCAACTCGCACTGGGAAAGACGATGCACGTATCGTTATATTGAAACGGCATTGAAGGGTGAGCGGTAGAATCAGAATCAGTTTTGAGAACATATATCGTGATCTCACATGTTCGTTTCCGCATCACTTAGTTTTTTCTTCCTCTTTGTCGCGACTTGATATCGTTTCTTGTAGATTATTTTCAGTGGGACTGACTTTGCGATCGCCGTCATTACCTTGTTCTGAACGTAATCTATTATTGAAAAGAATATAAAGAAGCGTTTCTTAATTAATTAGGTAAAATTTTATTTTGAAACAAAAATTTCTTTGAACATAAGTCAATCAACTTTGTTTATTCAAAAAAATTAGTAATGTTTGCGATTGTCACTTCTTTTTTTAAAATCATTTAGCACTTTGTTTTATTAAAGAGTATAATTGTGTTTTTTAATTTTCTTTCAATATTGTCAGTTGAATATATTATCGAATATCATAATTCTTTTGTTTTTATTTTTAAGAAATTAAACCTTACTTTGTTTTTTTCATTCAGAATTCCGTAATTATTCAATTTAACTTTATTACTTATGTGAAATAATAATGATAAAAAATAGTGTTGTTTTAAAAGTGTTTTTTTGTTTTGTTTTGTTTAATTTATTTAGCACTTCATTTTAAGCATACAAATAATTTTTAACGAACTTATTTTTTAAATTTTCTTTCTATATTGTTAGGTAAATATATTGATAAATTTCAATTTTATTTATTTTTTTATTATTTATTTTTAAACTAAGAAATCTTTCATTATTTGTGCGATCGTTTTTAGAAAATATACCATNTAACGAACTTATTTTTTGAATTTTCTTTCTATATTGTTAGGTAAATATATTGATAAATTTCAATTTTATTTATATTTTTATTATTTATTTTAAAACTAAGAAATCTTTCGTTATTTGTGCAATCGTTTTTAGAAAATATACCATTAATATCTTTCTTAAACAAAACATATACATCAAATTCATAAATTGATTAAATCAATCTGAGTAAGAAGTTTTGATAGAAATCCGACTTTCTGCGCCTTACAAGTAAATGAATTTCAAAAATACTATATCGCGATGCAAAACTGACGATGCATCACTATATAAAATTTCTGATATCGCCCAGTCCTATTTACAACATAATTGAAACTCTGTGAAACCATTGGAAGATGCTGTGAAATGTTACTAAGAAATTTTTTTTATCAGCTTCAGAAAATAAATCAACAAGGCAAATAATGAAAACCAATATTTTTCGCAAAGCACTCTATTAGAAGATCAACAAGCCTATCTCATATATAACAGAAGGTATGGTGAAATGTAACAAGGTAGGTTTAGTTGCACAAATTGTTAGGGAGAGCTAAATGCAGAAAAAAAAATTTCCTTTCAAAATCTATAGCCTTACATAGTTATTCAACACAATATTTATCATACAGTAGATGATTAATTTTACATTTATGGTTAGTTTTTACACTGATTGGAGCAACTACATTGTTCACAGTAATAAAAAAATAAAAAAAGAGATTTACTTTATTATAGTACCAAGCTCCTCAATCGCTTAAATAGCATATATAGTTTAGGAGCAATCCTTTAAATGTTAATTGAGAAAAATACTTAAAAACTGCAAATTATTGAATAAAAATTTTATTAATTATTCAAATAACTTTAAGTAAGCAAAATGATATCAAAGAAGTCTTAAAAATGAAATAACAAAATGGTAATGTCCTGAAATGGTGAATATTCATCACCCTAAACTAAAAAATGAAAGAAAAAAAAAGATAGTTTATTTCAAGTCACATTGAAAGAAAAATTAAAGCAATGTTAAAATGACAGTTACAGACACAAATTAAAACCTTAACATTTAATTACGCACGCTAAGCTATGAAATAAAAAGATTTAAACAATTTTTTTTTTTTAAAAAAAGCGAGTTTAGAGTAGAGCTTCAAAAATTGGTCATACAGTGCCAAATGTAAACAATATTCTGTTTCAGGTAAACTGATAAAAGTTTGCTATTAACTAAATGCAAAAAGAAAGAAAGAAAGTGAACTGGGGTACATTAGAGACAATTTCTAAGAGGATAATCAAAACTTAAGAAAACAAATTTGCGAGTGGATTTTAAATAATAAGCTGATTTTGACTACATTATAAACAAAAGACAATTATAATTACCTAAAATGAGTAATTTGGTTTTCGAGAAGTATTCTTAATCGTTCCTTAATTTCGGCAAAAATATCTTTTTCTTCAACAGTCACAGTTCCAATGCCGTCTGGCCTTAGGTAGAAAACAACTTTTACTTTTTTAGAATATTATTTCAGTAAAGCACATATAATATTATAATAAAATTAGTATACTAAATTATATTTATAATATGCATAAATTTGTTCTTAAGATTGATACAATCTTTATAATAAGCTATGGAGTTTATTTAAAAATGGCTTTAACTTGCTTCTTGAATTTCAAATTAAAAAATTAATTTAAAAAATATTATTTCTTATACATTTTTATCAAGCATTATTTATATAAAGTATATGATGTACACAAAACATTTGATTATTAGAGAAATGTTTAAAACAAGAACACAGTTCGAATAAAAAAAAATGTTTCAGATCTTTTTTAATATGTAATTTGTACATTCATGTCACACTGTTTCATACAATTTAAGCTTTTTAAAATAATTTAGGTATGTGTTTACATTATTTTAGACTCTGAACAAACCATCCAAATGTAATGCATAGGTAGAAAAATTAACTTTTATAATAAGAAACTTTTCATCTTTGTATGCAAAGTATTGAATGATAATGCAAATTTTAAATTAAATTTAAAATTATACTAATATGAATGTTAACTATTTATGTTTCTTGAGATGATTTTTTTATTTTTAAAACCTATTTCGAAATCAGTTTTCAATATTTAGTAAATAAGCACAATAAAACTTAGTGGTAAAAAGAAGTTTAATTAGTTGAACCAATCTTCAATGAAACTTAGCTAAAGCGTTTGTAAAAAATTCGCCTAACTGTAAGTTACACCTTAATTGTTTTCTACTACTAACTTATACAACTAAAACACTTTATTTTACAAAAATCTCAGGCTCTTTAAAAAGCCATTATTGTTGAAAAAAATATTGTGGAAGTTGTAGATATTTCAGTTCATTATTTGTTTTTAGCTAAATATAATCTATGAAATAACTTTAATTAGCTTTTGAATAATTTTGTATTTGTGCAAAAAAAAATTCACTTTAGACTAAATTAACATTCATTTATGTATCATAGAATTAAAAAAAAAGTTATTACAAAAGTGGTTAAAATAAAATTTTAAAAAAATACAGCAGGATCTTCAACAACTTTTTAGACGCTACCATGCTAATAAACCAATATGATGTTTCAATTTTTTAAATACTAAAAGATCCATGCTTTAATATCAAGCAAATATAATATCACTTAAGTTCACTTGAAAGTAAAAATTATCATAAGATTAAGAAAATAACTAATCATTTCTAATAAATGTAATCATTAAATATACAAGAAAACTTTTTCCAGCTGTAATTTTTAACATTAATATTTTAAGAAATTTAAATTATGCATAATTAAGATTAACAATAGATGAACAACTGTGATACAACAGTGCACCATATCAAGTATTAGCTACTGATAAATATATTTTTACTACAATAACATTAATCAGAAAACGATAGTTCTAAGTCATACATAACAATAATATGAAAGAAACCTTTAAGGAAAATTTTGAATAATATCAAATATTTAATAAATGGAGTTAAAAACAAAAGGGTTTGTCCCTTAGAATCCAATACATTTCTGCAGAGTAATTTCATTTCTCTTAAAGTTTTAAGGAATAAATGGATGTCTTTTTATCAAAGTACTTTGTAATTTAAATACACAATATTAATCTTAAAACAATTGGTAGGTTGTAATATGAACAGTAAATTTATTAATTTAATATTTTTTTAAAAAAATATGAATGAAAAAAAAAAGATTTCTACAATTTTAGGTTGATGTCTTTAACATTCTTTCTGGTTATGTTTCAGTGCTTGGCAATCTTACAAATTACATTACAAACGAGTAGAAAACAAAAAGAAAAATTAAGAATAGAGAGTCCCTTCTAGTCTTTTCTAGAGTCTCTTTTTAATCGATTCTAGAAATATGTGAAGAATAACTTACTTTATTTTAACAGATTACACACAGAAGGATATATTTTTTCAGAACATTTAATAACATAATCAACATTTTGAAACTGAAAATTTTACTGTCTTTTAAGGATTAAAAAAAAATTCATGTGCTAAATACAACAAGTCTCTGTCCAGTTTTAAAAATAATTCATATGTTTCAAAAGTAAAAAAAGGTTTATCCACAATACTTCATAGCAAACAAACTAGTTTGATGATAGCATATATACATATATAGTTACTGAAGGATTATTTTTACAACAAAAAAATCAGAAGTTGATTTCCAAACAGTTTTATTTTTTACCATGATTGTTATTCAAAAGCATTTGAACAAAGAATATGAAAGAAACTGTGTACAGAAAATTAAATTAAAACAAAAAATGATTTTTAGAAAAATTCAAAATTAGGTTACACATAAAATGGGACTGTTCAATACCTATATCTAAACACACAACATAAATATTTAAATGGCTGAAATTTTCACAAACATTTAAGTTAATAATTTTAATGAACAAAACCCAGGATAAAAGAATAAAAATTTTTAAAGCAATACATTTCATTAAAGTTATAGTGTAATAAAAAAAGAAGAGAAAATTTGATTGTAGAATCCTAGAACACTTATCACTTTCAATATTTTTATTCACACAAAAGTACTATTAAATTGGTATATTTTATTTACCATATTCGTTTTTGAAGCTCTGAACACAAAAAAAAAAAATATTCACATAGATTTAGGAAAGGAACAAATAAATCTTTTTTCAAAACTTTAGGCCAGGAATTTTTAAAGGAAAAAGAAATATTTCAGCTTTGGAATAACATGGATGGTTAACTGATTGCTCTGTAATTCCAGACTGATCTACGTTAAAATTCTTGAATAAATTTTCCTAATCATAAAAATTGCTTTTTTCTTAGTGAAATTTAATTAATCATCTGTTACCAAGTATTTAATTAATCATTTGTACTGTAATACCTACACCAAGGGAAAAAAATAATTTTACATAAATTACAGAAAAAGTGACAATTTTGACCTTTACAAGTATCACTCATAAGATTTTTCTAAGTTTTATAGATTTCATCAGGTCACAAATGATTTTAGGGAATTGAACTCAAAATATTACAACACATAAATTAATAAAACTAAAATTCATATTCTTTTGTTTTATCACCTACTTGTTTAATAAAGAATTATTTTTAGCTCATTAATTTGTTCTTTACTCCATTTTAAATTCTGAAACAAGTAGAAGAATTTTGAAGTATTGCTGATAAAGAAAAATCATACAAAAAAAAAAATTCCTTATTCGAAAATGGTATGATTTCCTAAATTCTAGGCTTTGATTTAAAAAAAAATCAAAATTGAAGTTTTTTTTTTTTTTTGGCAACTAATGCCATCTGTGTTGAGCTTTACATGGTTAACCATCCATATAATAATTTTTAAAATGGCTTGACATAAATGGTTAAAACACAATAAAAAGAAATAAAAACTGGCTGGAAAACATTGATAGTGTGTAAACTTAAAAGTGTGTGCAATAAAACTTGGTATGTGATTCAGCTGATAAAAAAAGAGGATGGGAAAAAGTGGTGCAATGTTATATCACAGTTGGTCAGAAGAAATAAATCTGCAATCATAAAATAAATACAGAATCAACATGTTAATAATAATAATAATAAGCAACATGTTATATCAGTTTAATGATGATTAAAAAGTGGATGCTTTAAACATGCAACATCTTTTGCTTTTCATTCCATAATTTAAATTATTTACATCAACACATTCCACAAATTGTCAGAACAATTAAAATTAATTGTTAGTTACTAAATCCGCTTTTAGAAATAAGATTTTTTAAAAATTCCAAATTTTATTCCATGTTAAAAAATAATTTTATTCCCCAATCCTAGCTGCATTTTGCAAAGAAAACATATTATATATGAAAATCAAATGTTGTAAAACTTAATCTCAATAATGCAGAGTAAAATATTTAGAAAACTAAACCAAGTTAATGGCAATTTATACTTTAATCTTAAATAAATCATATAAATTTTGATTTTTTTTCTGGGAAAAACTAACAATAAAACCAAAAGTTTAAAAAAAGCAGCAATATAAATTGCATACAAGTTTAAGTTTTCTAAGCAAGCATACTATTTCTACATTCTAAACTACTCTATTAAGGAAAAAGAGATACTTATAAAATAAAAGTGCCTAAAAATGTAAAAGATTTTAAAGAAGTGGAGCTGATAAAAAAGAAGTTGCAAGAATTTTCTGCAATTCAATAAGTTTAAAATGTTTCTTATTTACAAAATGCTGATCAAAACAATTAAATATAAAATTTAAAAAAAAAATCATAAATTTAATGCCAAAATACTGTCCATTATTGTTCTATCAAAGATTTCTAAATCACAAAAATGGATTGTGTAAGAAAGAAAAATAATTTTTGAGGATGATTCTAAAGCTAACATAAATGTTTTAGGTTTAACTAAAGCATGGCATCAGCTTCTAAATAAATTTAGATTTCTAAAAACAATCTTGCAATCAAAGTAGTTACTAAAATTTATTTAACATGTTAGCTTTACTATACTAACAAATAAAAAGAAATACTAACAAAGTATAAATCTAAAGAACTACAAAATTATCAAGGTTCTAATAGGCTAAGCAGTTTTTTTTTCTTTTAATATTTAAACCAGAGATGTATCCAAAAAAAGGTGCAGTACAACTAAAACTTTTTAAAAAATAAATTGTCTCTTTAAAAGTACTTAGAACTTTACAGAATAATGGAAAAATTGTTTTATGAGCACATATAGTCAATTAAGGAGCTACAATAAAAAAGAATACAATATAAAGAAACTGAGCAGTTAAATGAAAAAACTAATGTATGAGCATTATCAACAATGATAATTTTGGAACATATTATTATTGGTGTTGATAATTTTTCAAAGAAAAAGGAAGATAATTTTCTTTTTTTTTAAATATGGTGTGTATTCACATAAGTTTAATTCCCAAACTTTAATTAAGCACATTATTTTATCAGATTTCAAACGAAAATAATAACATGGAATTATTATGACGGAAAAAATATTTTTGTTTTTACTTAAAAATAAAATATACTGAAGGAAAAATATTACCAATTTATTTTGCTTTTTTGCCCTCCATACAAAAAATACTAATTTTTAACATTCCTTATCACATTTCCTATTCTTTCAAAACCAAATTTATTAAAAAAAAAGTGCTTTCTCATAAGTTTAACCCTTAACTAGGTAAGGATACCATAACAAAATTTAAGTTTGAAGTAACTCTGCTTAAAACTTAGAGTATAAATTTAATTTTCAAGTATAAATCAGTGATTCTCAATTTCAGGAGTAAATTAGTTTCAAGCACTTATGCAACAATTGTAGCTTGGAGTACTTAGTGGTATGGTCGATTTAGAAGTCGTTCACGCAGCTGATGAAAAATTGGAGTCATGAGTTTGAACATGGCAGTCGGTAAAACAAGTGGCATGTATATGCCACAAAGTGCGCATTAAATTGGATTCAAGTCCTCTTGTTGGTTGGTTGTGGTGTAGAAGCTTGGAGAGAGGAGAATCAGCTAAGGTGCTGTCCATGTTATCTGACCAGGGACAAAATTTTACATGAAATTAGAATAAACTATTTGACCAGGAGCCAAACTACATGGCATTTTTACCACAGTCATTAAAATGCAGAGTGCCTAAAAAATGAGATTAGGTTTGGTCATGGTTAGGTGATGTGAGTAGTTTTGAATATAAACCAACATTGTTCAGTAGTAAATATCCATCTGCATTAGCTGGTCTAAATAATGAATAATTGGTAACTGCAGTAATGTACATCTCTAATTTAAACATAATTCTGGCAATACCATTATTTATATTTCCCACAATACCCTAAACATGACTTTCTTTCTGTAACCATTTATAGTTAAAAATATACATGCAATTATCGTGCACACTAGGGTAAAACATCAACAGGTAAGGAATTCTAAAAAAAATAGATAAAAAGCCAAGCATAAAATATAGTGCACAAAAAAGCAAGGCAGACAACAATGGACTAACGTGCAGAAAAGTTATGACATACCTCACATCTGTAGCAACCTGTCCAGGTGGGGCAGTACTTTTGTGTGTGAAGTGTGGAATTAGCATTAGTATTTTACCCAAAAAAATAAACACTATAAACTTTGAAATATTCCTTATTAATTATCCCAAGTAAAGATTTTATAGCATGAACAACTTACTAAAATTCCTCAGAAAGCACGTGTTAATTTCATTAGGAACAAAGCATGAACATAAACATTGAACATTTTTTTAAAAACATTGTTAAATTTGTGTTATTGATGAAATTATATTTAATAAATATGACAGATTTCTTTCTCTCAAATTAAGACAGAACACAAGTTTTGTTAGTAAGAATAGCCAAATCTACAAATGAATAAAAAGTTTGAATAATTGTGACAGATATAAAATACTTAGAATGATCTTTATAAAAATTATCTTTACATCAAAAAACTTGTAAAAAAGAATAATGTTACACTATAAGTAAACCTTTGAATTTATGAATAAGGAAATTTCATACTTAAAATGTTATTTTTAATTATATATAAAATTGAAATATAAAATCGATACATGAAATTTAAAAATCACTTTCAAAGATGAGAGCCTTTATTTTTCATACAGCATTAAATTATTCTCATCTAAATTAAAATAAATAAAGGCAAAAACTACTCATATTTTTAGGTATTAAATTTAAATAGTCACAAGATAAAATTTTTTTTACATATACTTTAATTAAAATTTATAGTAAAATTGCTGTAAATTTCATCACAACTTATTTTTTTAAGTAAAACTACAAAAATGTATTAAAGAAAAGCATTTCTTACTGACCTATTTCCATGAACATGTGACGCACAAAAAGCAAAACTATAATGTATTAGAGTAGGGTCAATCATAATAGATTTTTCTGCTCTATCCAATAAGTCATGCAAGTAGCACAGATGACGATAACAGCTACGAACTCCATAACGAGCGCAATACTCATCAAGGCAAAAAATTTGCCCAGGACTGAACCAACCCTGCAAACACATTTCAATATATAATTAGCAAGAAATATTACTTTTAACAAACAAATAAAAATGTGACTATTAAGACTCTTATTAAGACACTTTGCTTAAAGCTATTAAGAAATTGTTATGTGAATTTATCTTGACAAAATGTATTTATATATTTTATCAGGATATCATCCCAGTAGCACAATTTACAGAGTCAATTTACAGCACTATCTTCATAAATCCAAATTTGTCTGCGACCTCAATGTAGTCAAAAATTACAATAAAAATCCCGCTTAATCAAAGATACATGTAGGAAACTTATTATAAAAGTTCTTAAATATTATGCTAAAAACATTATGTTGTTTAAATTTAAGTTAAATTTTATACAATCATGCTTAATAAAATGGAATACATCACCAAACATTTAAGTCTGTAATCTAGCGACAGAAACAAAATATCTTCCTTTTGTTCTCTGCAGCGTCCTCTAAATTCAGCTTTTTAATTTTTATGCTTGCATGCTTTTTAAAAAGAAAACTCAGATGAAAAATAATCTTCAAATGCTGCAATAATCTGTTGTGCCTACCACCGTGCTGGAAGTATTCTTAGACTTAGAGGTTGGGCAGCTCTGACGAGCAGGGCACATCAAACAGAGGTCTATTGTACCCAAACCCTAAATCGTGATTAGCAAGAAAGCCCTATAGCTGAAATAAAGTTCAGCAAGTATCTTGCAGTTCCAGGTATTGACGCAATGCTGCCCTAAATGCTCAAATCTTTAAGCAGAATAGACATCATCAATCATAGAGTATGTGTCGTGATGTCTCTTCTTCAAGATGACAACCCCGACAAAGAGAATTGGATTCTATCCCCATTATGTGTAGGTGTCTTTTCTCTTAAGCTTTAAAAGCTCCTTTTGATGTACACTAGGACAGTCACGATTCAGCTCCTTAGCTTGTCTCTGACCGTCAGCAGCACGCCATTACTCATGGGCAATCTTTCCGTAGAGCTTGAAAATGGATGCCCTAAATGAGGTGGGAGAAATTCCCAGCACAGGTTCAGGGTCCCAGAAAATTGCATTGGAGCCAGCCCGTGCTGCTTCATCAGCTGGTTCATTTCCACCAACACCCATATGTCCAGGTACCCAATGCAAGGATACCTTGTTATGAGAGGGCAGGTCACAGTGAACAGGTGGAAGTATTCTGCTAATGGGATTATTATCACAAAACACATAAATAATACTTTAGTTAAGTATATTTTATTGATTATTAGGTTTCTGAAAATACTTATGAATAAACTTAAATGTAGCATTATGAGTTCTAACAGACATATATAATGCTACTCTATGAAGATTTTTTTTTTAAAATTCTACTTTTGAATTTCTAAAAGATTGCATCTCCACAGTCAATAAGATTTCTTGTGCTCATGCGATTAAAAACAAAGAAGATAGAAATTAAATGCTCTGAAATTTTTTTTCATTGATTTCCACATTTTTCTAGATTCTGTGATGATCTCCACAATTTTCTAAAATTAATGTTTGAAAACCCATCCTTGAAATATACTGCACAAATTAAAATATGCAAATACAAATTACGTTGCATACAACTGAAGAGTAATAATGAAATACAAAAATTTGGCATACAAACCAAAGAGCAGTATGGGTCGTTTAGCCGATAATCAAGAGTTGTAGTCTGTAAGCTTCTGAAAAGCTTATGATGGTCAAATTTGCATGGATCTGCTGATATAAATTCATCCATGCCATGCTTCCTTGCACGATCAGCATCTAAATAAACAATGACTTATTAACAAAATTTATAAATGGAAATTATGAGAATACTAGTAACTAGAAAAGTAATTAAGTTTGGTGAAATTTTATTACATATTTTCAATCTGCATAGCTATTAATCTGAGTATTAACCCTGCAATGATTGCATAATTTTGAAAACAGTCATAAAAGAGCATATTTTTTTATTCAAGAAAATTATATGAAACAAAGTGTATGTACAATATGTATTATGTATTTTTAATTTATGGGTTAATTGCAAATGAACATGTTTGAGGGATGTTGATATCTAGTTTAAAATAAACTATCTTGAAACACATTACAAATAGTCTAGTGTTGCTATTTGGAGCATAGAAAGAAAAATCAACATGTTTACAGGCATAAGCAATAGATTGTTTTAATCTTTTTGGAGCATTACTTTCGAACACTTCAGCCTAGAAATATCACAATCAAATTTTAGAGGGCAAAAGTTTCATCCCATCATTTTCATAAAAACGAGAAGAAGGGGTCAATTGTAAGTTTGGATATAAATTGTAAGTAAAATGTATTTTAAAAACTACTTGTTACAGTTTACTGAGATCAGACATATGATTGGACTACAACTGGACTGGAGACATAAAAAGCTTTAGTGGCAGAGTGTAGACACACTAAAAGATAAACAATATCATATGATACTATAAAACAGTTTTTCTACCATGTGAAAGAAATTAAAGCCTTTTTTAGACATAAATATTAAATAATAGGAGTCAATCTAAAACACGTTTTTTATGCTTTGTATCTTATTTTTTAAACCTGTAATAAGTTCATTTCATTGAAAAATATGGAAGGGGGAACTAGTTCTAAAAAGCAAAACGAAGCAACACTTTTCAAAGAAAAATAGCATATGTGCCTAATAATATAATATTGTATCCCTTATAATTAATTATATTTCACTTTTTTTTCTATCTAGTTAGACTTTTTTGCCGTCAGTTTTTGGAATTTCCACCACAGCAGTTTTAATTGAAATCTGGGTTGAAAATATGGATTTGCAATTTTTTTTTTAAAATATAAGAGAAGTTTGGAAAGAAGAAGTGTCTCTCTTATATTAAAAAAGAAAAATTATAAAACCAGAATTTTTTCCTTCTATCTGTAATTTCCTAAGCAGATATTTAGAAGGTTTTTTCCTAACAAAGTATAAAGGAGAAAAAAAAAATATTGTTTTTTTTAAAACTTATTAACTCCTATTTTATTAACATAAATCAAAAATAACTACTTTTTGTAGGATGAGATCTATCATAAACTAATTGCAGGGTTCAACAATATCATATGCAATAAAATAGTTTTTCTACTATGCGAAAGAAACTAAAACTTTAATTATATATAAATATTAAGTAATAAGTGTGAATCTAAAACACATTTTTTATGCTTTGTACCTCATTTCTTGTAATAAATTCATTTCATTGAAAAATACTGATGGGGTACTAGTTCTAAAAGGCAAAAAGAAGCAATGCTTTTCAAAGAAAAATAACACATATGACTAATAATACAATTTTGTATCATTTACAAATAATAATATTTTACTTCTTTTCGATCCAGTTAGACACTTTTTTACCTCGTTCCTGTAATTTCTATCAAAATTAAAAAGTTTTTCTACCGTAGTTGAAGAAAAATATATTATTTTGTATTAAAGCTTGATTAAAATTTATCTCGTCAGTAGATATGAAAATTAAAATATTTTTTGTGGAATGAGAACTATCTTAAAATACTTGCGGACGAATTATGACCTTTATCCAAAATATTTTCTCTAAATGTTAGAGGAGATGAAACATCTTTCTTTATTTTTTTCAAGTATCACAAATCATTTGAGCTAATTTTTGAAGGCAAATATTGCCACATACCTCCTTGTAACCTAGATATGGTAGAGTTTTTGCTGGTTTGAGGTTGAACAAGGGGAGTTGGTTTATGAGATTGTCCTGTAGCCCTGTACATAGCCATGACCCATAGATGACACTCATTTTCATCGTCACTGGCATAAAGTACGCTATCACCTTCCTTGACCGCATTGAAGAAAAACCTCCCACCTTCAAGATCTGAAATTTGAAGCAGCATTAAACAAAACTGGAAATGAGAAATAATATATTAAACTCTATAAGATATCAGTACAAAGAGATTTTATTCAAACAAAAGTAGATTCTTGTTCAGTGATGCCCTCGTTTTTTTATGAGCTGAAGTTGCTCTAAATGTTCAATGTGCTTTATTCTTTTTCATTAACTTCAATAAGATTAATAAAAATATTACAGTAACAGATTTTTCCCAGATAACAGTAACAGATTTCAGAAGACACTTTTATTTAAATGAGAAGGAAGCATAACTATTTAGAACACCATAAACTATGAATAACTTTTGGAAACCACTATCACATTAATGAATATTAATTTTATTATGGTTGGATTCTGGAGCCAATGAGACAAAAACAATCTGAACAATAAATTAATTCATATCATACTGTTAACTAACCCCAAAACAAAATGGTATAAATTGTGTCATTTTTCGGAATGCAATCTTTTCAGTTTAAATCAAATTTCATAACACACAAAACTAATGCCAGTTTTTTTAATCACAAAATGGGCAGATTTCTTGTCAAAAGTAAGTAAAAAATTCAATATATAGTTTATATATAGGACATTCGCTACAAAGAAAAATTTTCCGAAAAATATATAGCATAGTCTGAATAATCCCATTCCTGCTGGCCCAAAACAATTTTGTTTTGTACTAGAGTTCATATTTATTAAGCTACACTATGACCACCACTCCAGTGAGTGTGCAGTTCAGCATTGCCATTTGTTAAATTGACTTGTTAATGGTAGACTAATTTTCAGATTAGTTGTTTGGTGTAATAATCATGTGATATGCCTTTTCTTTTTGGTTAAAGGTCTATCAAATTGGTAGGACAAGTTAATTAGAACAATTTGTAAAAATATATATGTTTAGTTATTGGAGTTTATGCATATAAATTAAATACAAATTAGAAAACTATGTAAAAAAAGTAAAACATAAAAAATTTACTACCAAGCACTGGTTCAACATAATCTACAGTATATCCATCCAGCTGCATCATTTCCGTAGGTTCCGACTTCTTTTCTCTGTAACTACACATTGCAAAAGTATACTGTGATACCTACAATAGAATGGGTTACTTGTAATGTTAAAAGATAATGTTAAAGAAAAGCACATAAATAAATTTAATGAATTTAGAAAAAATTATAGCAGAACGAGATATATGGTTTAAATATTTTGCACGGTTTAAATATTTTGCATCTAAATATTTAACATCTATATTTTTATTGAATTGATACTGATGCTAATATAACATAGGGATAAAAGAGACTATAAATAATATACTGTATAGCAAGAATTTGAAATCACTCTATTACTTTGGGGGGGAGGGAGGGAACAAATACAAGTTTGAACATAACATATACAAAAATTGCAAGTATAAGTAATAAAAGTTAACAAATATTTTTTTAGTTTTTTCTTCTTCAAAACTCACATTTGAAAAATATTACAACTAAATACTAATCTCCTAAATTATTCATAAATTGAGAAGAAAATAATTAGACAAAAGAAAGTTCTTTCAAATCTGAAACAGTCTAAATTAACTACGATTTGATACTATTTTCAAACCAGAATGGTTTTTAAAAAATAATGAGTTTAACGTAATTTTTCTAACTGCTTCCATTAACAATTTTTTTAAAAAAATGCAAAAAATTAACATATTTTTCTACTTTATTAATAAATACAAGGAACTAAAGCAAAGCATAATACACAAGTTTTAAGTTGAATTTTTAAATTTTTTTAATTATTTAATTTACCATCAGTTTACTATTCCGAGTTATCTCAGACAAATAAAAAAAGTTAAATACTAATCTTTGTACGATAGTTTTTGAAACAAGGAACAATACAAAAGTAATAATTTATAAACACTGGTATAGTGATATGCCATTTTTTTAAAATTCTTTTTTTTTAAATGTAAATTCAGTAACTATCGTATATGCAATCGCACAAAGTGTACAGTCCCACAATCCAACAGCAAAACTCCCAAACAAAATTTGGCAAATTTCCAAACACAGCTGATTATGTTTTGTTTGCTTCCAGTCGAGTAAAAACATGATAAAACAAAACAAACTGACAAATACTGCTACGCCCGAGTTTCCTCGGGATAATAAATATTTGCAATATGTACATACCCGAGTCAACTCTGGATAATCAGGGAAGCAGTTAATGATATATAACTGTGTTGGTGATATTTAGTCAACATTCCTATCTAATTGTCAAAATTAAACAGTAACTGATCTGTCTATAGTTTATTTCCAAATGGTGAAATACCATTTTGCAAGTGCAATTGCTTATTAAAAAAGAATCTAGTTGCCTACTAAACAAGTTAACTTATTATCATTGTTATTATCATAAAATAAAAACTTATTTTAAAAACCAATTCTCATAATTTATATGGAACTGCAATAATATAATAGGAAAAATAGCACACAATTTTAAAAGATCCCAAACTTTGATGTTTTAATAATTTTTTTACAACTGATTAATTCATGGCTCAGTGTACAATTTAAGACAATTGAATAAACAATAAAAACACCTACCTGAACCAGCAAAAAATATCTTTTTTTCCATTTTTTCCAAACTTGCTTTCCTTGCGCAAATAAATACCTGTGAAAAAATTTTCAAAAAATTTTTTAATAAAACATTAAGCACTCATTTCAGAAAAAAATATTAATTACGTATGAATATAATATGACAATAAAAATCAAACCAATGAATAAACTTTTAGTGTAATTTCATGTCTTGTTAAAAAAAAAACCAAAAATATTTATCTAGACATTGTAAGCATTATATAAAATCTGAAGTTTAAATGATGAAATAGTTTTGATAATTATAATAAATAGCAAAGAATTTTTGCAAGAGCAAAAGTGAAAGGCAAAGCCTTTTCAAATTCTTATCCTCTGCTGAAAATAAAAGCTTAGTATTTTAAAAATTCTTAAACATTCTTCAAATTCTTCTGAAATTATTTTCCATTTTAATTTTTGTATAACTAGATAAACTTGAAACCACACAAGTATAAAATCCATTATTCAATGTTAAGTATTCACCAGAATTTCAATTTCCGGCAATCAAAGTACTAAGTTAAAAGGCTTAAGGGATATGAATTATAAATAAGTACCTAATAGGCAATGCTATTAAAAAAATTTACACAAATAAAATTTTCTTTGCATTGTTATAAATACTTAAAAAAGTTTTTTTCTTCCAATGCCTACCAGGAGAATGACATTTCCTCAATACAGGTATCTGAAGGACAGATTAGTTGACCACTCTTTCAGGGGCACCATATTAGGTGGGCCAACATTGCTCCCACAGTAAGGTCAGATAGTACAGAGAATGAAAGAACATCTATGCCTTGTCCAGGATTCGAACTCTGAACCTTTCTGATGAAAGGCCAGTTCCCTAACCCTTACACAGATCGTTCGGGACTTTAAAAAGTTTCTTCCGCCATATCACCATTTATGAAGTAATAATTCTGATTTTAATCTACATTATTGAAATTTTGAACAGATGGGTGTCATTAAATAGGGGTACCAGGAACATATATTTCATACTCTAGAGAAATTTACCGAATGAAATTCTGAATTTCACTGAATCATAAAAACATGCAGACACTTTTAACTGAATATCAAATTAATTCAGTCAAATTAGATTTGATTCAGACAAAAACTAAATAGAAATTGAATATTTAGTAGTGATCTAGAAAAAAATTGCCTAAATTAAATTCAAAAGGATTATATAATTAAGTTTAAACTTTAAAAAATAAACATATATATAAATTCCTCAATTATGATTTCAATCTGATGATCAATTAAATAATTATGAATAATTCTTTTGGTTTGTGATTTCAAACTTTTATTACTTCAACTTTTAGACCATGTTTTATTCTTAAACACACTACCAATTTGTGTTTTTAGAAATAAATTGTTGAAGTCAATTAAAACTGAATTAAAACTGTTAGTTTATTACTTATTGAAATATTAAAATCATTTTAAACAGTCCTTATGTTTTACTTTCTCAGAGTATTATCAAAAAATCCAAACAAATGTGAAAATTCAAAGTATATTTACTTATTTAATGTTTAAAAAAACAACAAAATCTAGACAAAAAGAACTAATGCAATTATATAAATCTGTTAAATGTCAAATAAATTTTTTCAAATCCTCAAAAAGTGAAAATATTTGGAAAGTTAAAAGGACCTTTGAAAATAAATCTGAAAAATTTCATGCAGAAATTATTTTACTTCAGTTCTTAACTCTTAGTAACTAGTCAAATAATTTAACAGTGCACTCAGCAACTACCGTGACTTTCATGAAAGTAAATTGGGACAAAAAATAAACTAAATCAGAAAAACTGATTTTGAATCTGGGTTACTTCAACAAATTTAATTCCCTTTATCGGATGATAAAATATAAAAGTATTTACATTTAAAATTCACTATACACAAAAAGAGAAATACTTTAGCACTGAGTAATAACAAATACAGTAGGTCCTTTAAATGAGAATAATACCTGAAGTTTTTAAAAAATGATATTATTTCTTAACAGTTTTTGAAGTATCACAGTGTGTAAAATAATGTGTTTACATGACTGATGTGTTTTCATAATCCAATTTTTTTGGTGAATTATATCAAACTTTTGCCATTATTGACACTCTCTGAAAATATTATTATTTTTTTTAAAAATCCTATTTTATATAGTCTCTTTTTTTATTACAGTTATTTAAATTGTGATAGATTTTTGCATGTAATTTCAGAATTTTCTAATTAATTGGACAAGTGCCCAACTTTTTCTTGCAAATACATAATTTAACAAACAATTTTTAAAAAAAATTGAAAACACAGTTTAAATACATTTTTATAACATATAAAATTTTTAAATATTATTATTTTGCATCACTATTTTTTGCATAAATTTATGCATAAAACACTAATACGACCAATAATTCACAAAGACAACGAAAGTGGACATTTTCAAAACTGGATTGGAGTACAACTTTAAAAAAAACAGGCTCCTAATTTTGAAATAAAAATAATATGAGAAACTTTCACTGCTGTCCAAGAAAATAACATCTGCAGAATTTTTCAGGATGATTACAATTATTACCTCTCCATGTAACGAAAATGCAACAAAAAGTCCTCCATGAAGGCAAATTTCTCCTAATACTCGATCCAGGAGATCCCTTGTCTTCCGGATTTGGTTCAAAATTACAAGGCTACGGACTTGAACATTATTAGTCGTAAACCCATAAAATTGGGTCGGCTGTTCAGCGACGGTTATAAAATAAAATAATATCATGATATTTATAGTCAATATAAGCAACCACACATAGTCAAAGTAATCAAACCAAACTGATAAAGGTATCTTGGCCACTAAGTTTAGATTAGAGGATTTCAACCCCACAAAACAGTTAACCTTCAATAAGCCAGGTGGCATTAAATAATAAGAAAGACCTTCATTCAGATAGCATGATAACATTAAGAAAGATCTGAAAACATTAAAAAGTGACTAATTGTAAACATGCATCTGATAGACACTGATGGAAAAAACTTGTTGAGAGGTACTTAACCTGCTCTGGGTTGTAGAGCCAAGAAAGAATTTTTTCATACAAAAAATTAATAAACCGTGGTAATTTTAAGAGCACTCTTGGTAATGTCCCCTCTTAAAAACTGAGAGAAAAAAATGTCTATGCAAATGCTGCAAATTAAAGAAGCAATGCATCATAATAGAAGCAATGTGCAATGAATAACTATACATAATAAAAATTTACCCGCAATGCTTCATGTTTAGAGGCTTATCCATGCGGACAACAATTTTGATTCGTAAATCTTGATCAGGAGCATTTTTTGGGACAATCATTTTGTACCATTCAGGAGTTTTAGGACTCAAAGGAGTAGGCTTTATTATAACCTACAATGAGAAAAATTATGATGTAAGAATTGGCTTAAATAATAGCACTAGATCATAAACGTTTTAGTATCAAAATACTTACTTTCCCTAATTCTTTATCATCTAAACTTAATAAGCCTGGACTTTCTGTGTATAATTTAACTTTAACTATAGGCAAAGCATGTGTGGTTGTGAAATCTCCTTGAGTATCCCACCTGAAAATGAATTTTCATTTAATTTAATATAAATTATTCACAACATATGAGGCTTCAATTAAAAGCCTTTGAAAATAAATTCTTGCAAAACAAAGGGAAAGCAAAATAATATAAAAGCCCTGAATATTTATGATTCTACATAAATTTTATAAGTTACATGTGTAAACTTTCAGTTTGCAGTGTAAAAACCAAGAAATATTGTAAAAAGCTAAAGATTCATCAACAAAATCAGAAAAACTAATTTTATCAGTGGGGATAAGATTCAATTTTAAAAATGTGGCTCTTTATTTTAGAAATAAAAAATTGGAGCATTTGCAAATAATATAAGGTCAATGAGAAAATAAGGCTGGATTTTCAGAATTTTATAATGCAAATTTGCATTATAAAATTCCGAAAATCCATTATAAAAATGAATAAAAATACTTAGAAAAGTAAAAAATCTTAAAATCATTTCTTTAATGCTTTGATATGTACACCATCAGTTATTTTATAAACATGAAGACAATAAACTACCGCAATGTTTCACATAGTTTCCCTGAAACTGTAGTTTTAGCTGAGGCAATGATTTAATTTTTATAGGCTGTTATAAGTAGTTGTTTCCCTGTACACAATGTTTTTATGGAGACTTTTTGGAAGTCATAGTATGGGACAAATCCATGTGAATTAGGGAATAATTCATTTAAGACTTCACACATAAAAGGAAGAAAAATTAGGAGCCTTTAGCTTTACCAATAAAATCATGAAAACCTCGACTGTCATTCCAGACTGAACTAGCAACACCATCTAGAGAGTGTATAGAAAACTATCTTACACTAAGTTTTAGCACAAATTTTTTTTTAAAGTTTTCTGTGTTAAGTTCTAGTGCTAAGTTTTCAACTATCTTACTCCACGAAAAAACAATTTTTTCAGCAGAATATTAATCTAGTAGTTTGATAATTAAAAAGGTTAAACAACAATATTACTACTAACTAAACTCAGTGGCGCAACAGCCCATAGAGGGTCAGAACCTACTGTGTCCATCTTAGTTTTCTTGACCTTGGGCTCTGGGGTGCAGGAGCAGATGTTCCGGTCAGGTGGTCAGCCAAACGCGGAACCCCCAGTGATTAGTTCCCAAGCCTGCTTGGTACTCATTTATCGACCCATTGAAGGGATGAAAGGCTGACTCAACATTGCCCGGTCTGAGGATCGAACCCAGGACCTGTGGGACGGGAGCGCGAAGCGCTACCACTCAGCCACCTGACGTCACAATATTATAGCTTTCATTATTACTAAAAAAAACTTTTTTAACTTAACTTTATTTTTGTTATTCAAATGGATAAATGAAATGTTTTTACTAACAAGGAACACAAGCAACATTATACTGGTGTATTAAGTAATACTACTGGTTAATACAACAATCTGTTCAAAATCAGATGTAATCTGATTCAGATCTTTGAATGCAGGTAATAATTTCTAATTAATTCATAGCAACCAAAATAATTTGTTATTGTTTCGTTTATATATGCTAACATGCAATAAAGAATTTCAAAAGTATTAACCCTGAAAGGAAGATAACAATACAACTACAAACTTTAATCAAACGAGAAACTCGATCATAAAATTATTAAATAGTGTTCAGTATTTTATAAAAGAATAATAATTCATGAATATTTTTCTTACATGGGTTTCGAAGCTTCCGCGTGATCAGTTTGTAATTTTTCTCCTCCTTCAACTTCCATAGTACAATATACTATTCTATTGGGTGCTAAAGATTTAAGTCCTTTGACTTCCATAACTACTACCTATGATATTAAAAAAAATAGCATTAATCTAAAAATATCCTTTTAAAAACCATATTATATTTTAATTAGCATTTAAATAGACATTTTATTTATGTAAAAAGAACATATTTTTCTTGTACTGATCCCACAAATTATACATACTTTAAAATACAGTTGAACCTCGTTCTACTGTTCTTGCTTTATTTTGTTTTCCCATAAGTATAATATTGTTCTAATAGTGCCATTACAAATGCTATTCTTATAATGTTAATAACACCTGTTCAGATTATTTTTTAAACAAACAGATTCCCGTGTCTATCATTTCAAAACCCAACTGACATTAAAACAAAATAAAGTTATTTTATTTTGAGAAGAAAAACAGATGCTAATGATGTAGAAGAAAATGCAATGTTAGAATTTAGAAACAATTTTCAAAAAATCACATTTGATGTTTATGTATCAGTTGATAAAAATGTTCCGTTCAAGAAATATTTACAAAAGCTGAAGACATGCAAAGTGATATAGATGAAAACAGTGGAACAGAGCCATATAAACAGTGCAAACAAATTGAGGATGGTATCGAATCCTTCAAAACAATGAAGAACTTACTATAATCACATGAACTTACAGAAAATGAGAAGTAATCTGTTACAAGTGACAAAATTTTATTGTTTGCGCTGAAAAGAAAAGTGCGTAATCAAATCTAATTTTCCAAATATTTTAAATAAATTGTGTTAATTCAACTTTCTTTTGCAAAATATTTTTGTAGTATTTGTATAATTTTTTTTCAATTAAAATTTTGGTACCTACTGAAAGTTTATTATGTTTCAAAACCATAACTTCTTTATTATTTTACAAACAAGTTAATAAATGATATTTCATATAAACTCACATTCATCCTTCTTTTGCATCTATCATTCATATCTATCCTCCCATGAGAAATGTAGTACGTATTCTACTGTACTACATTTGATGAACTTATTAAATAAATAATTTAAAGAAATTCAATTGTTTATTTAAAATTATATATATATATAAAAACAAATATATATATATATAAAAAACGCACGCACACAGACAGATGGGTGTCATTAAATATATG